AGGGATAGTATTACCTACCTCATAGGGTTGCCATGAGAAGTCAATGATGTATGTAGAGGACACACACACTCAGTGATTGTTGTCAGTGTAGGCCCTGTTGGAGCCACAGCATTGCGTTAGATCTCAGGTGTTATTTTAAGGGGCCTATGGAGGAGCACTGAGAAAATCATCTGGATTATTCAGGGCAGGGCCCAGCTGTTGAAGGCAGGAATTGTTCTTGAGAAATGAATGGGAGCGGATGTTGTCTGCCTAATACTGCCACTGGATCACAGGGTGGCATGGCTCTGAGGTTGGGGTAGGCTGGCGGGGGCTCAGCACAGCAACAGTGGATGGGGCAGCTCTGTCAGTGGCACCCACTGCATGCCTGCCTCTGAAGGCTTAGAGTGAAGGGAAGGGCTGGGCTGTAACACTTAACCTCTCTAGAACCTTCAGGATTTTACCCCCTCACAAAATACTTTCATTTCTGGTAAGTTTACTAACTGCAAACTTGTCATTTGAATAGAGGCATGTGTGCATTTCAAGACGTTCCTTGCAGTTGTACCAATTTTTTAAAAGTAATGAGCTTTTTTCCCCCCTTAAAGCATGAGGCTGACATCAGAGAACAGTTTTTGATCTCAGTTTTAAAAATGAACTGAGTGGCTTAGAAATGGTGGAAACCCCAGGCGGCTTATTGGCTCACTTCCCCTCAGTTTCATTGAAAAGAATTTCTTCAGTGTACACACATCACAGGGCATGATGCACTTTGGATTATTCAAAGTTTAGAAACATTTAGGTGATCATGGTAAATCATTCATGCAAACATGGATAAATGCAGTTGTTTCTTTCGTGCAATCACAAGGAGAGCAGACATCCGCAACCCTTTTCTCTAGTTCTCAATCCTTTTAGTGACATCTAGTGGAGGATCTTTGAAAAACACATTTGCCTCTATGGTGTTCCTCTAAAGTTAAGCCCCTCCAATTAATCAAGAAGTCATTTAAACCCTGTGTCCATGTAAAAGTCCCTCTGTGTTTCAGTGTCTGAGTTAGAAATACCACGAAGGCCGAATGGACTCTCTCTGACTGCTGATAAGAGCGTGCCACCAGGAACCCTATATTACAGTAGTCAGAAACTCTGCATTTGAATCTGGTTGTCACTTTTCACCAAGTGTGCGCTCCTCCCAGCTATAAAATGTATTTAATAATAGGAACTGCCCTATAGGGTTACTGCAATGACCAGATGAAATGATGCCCATGAAGGACTCAGCATAGTACCTGACATACAGTAAATATCGGTCTGATAAGCTAACAGTAGCTACAACTTTTCATTACTCTCCACACTGCAGATCCTACCTGCAGAAATAATGCTCTCGGGTGGAGGGCCACATAGTATGGTTTGTCTAAGCAGTTTACTGTTATTAAATATGCAGTGGAATCATTTTAAGATGCATCTTCTTAAAAAAAATGCAGTTTCCCCCTCCCCACTGCTCTCTCTCGTTTCAAATGCTAATCAAGAAGTAGGAATACATAATCTAGACCCAGCAAAGATCTTGGAAAATAAACGTAACATAGCCCCTTATGTTCAGATGAAATTTGGAAAAATCATCTTTCAGGTTTGAGCTGGAAGTCGTTGCCTTTTCATGGAAAAGATTGGTTGTGTAATGGTCTAGGACCTTCTGTTTTGAAGAGTTTGTATTATTAGGTACAGTTTGGGAAGGAAAAGTGATACTTGACATTCTTCCATGATATGAAGTGTACTGCATATTTCTTCCTGGTTAAAATCTGCTTTAGAAGCAGGCATGTTTCTTTCTTTCTTTCTTTTTTTTAAAAGAGATGGAAAGAGTCTTCTGTGTATTTTAGGCAAATTTAGGTTAAGGTATAAGTGCCCTTTGAAGCAAAAAGTGTGCATGTTTTGCTAACGTATTATTTTAGCTACTCTGGCTTGGCTGAGGTCTTCCTAAATAATCAACATCCCTCAATAGCCTGGGGCTGAGAAGGCATGTGACAGCAGCTAGCAAATCCCAGGAGCCTTGGCCATGGTAGCTCGTCCTTGAAAAGCTCCTGGCACCCTTCTGCCAGGGATCCTGTCCTACAGGGATGACAGACCCAGCAGCCTCAGCAGAGGGCATGAGGCTCCAGCAGCTCCATTAGCAAGTGGCTAAGCCCAGCCCTGAGCCAGAGACTGTCAGAAGGGGACAATGGTAGGAGAGAGCTGGGCTCAGGGTCTGGAGCCCTGGCTCTGCACCAGCCTGCCACATGCCACCCGCACGGCTTTTGATACACTCCCTCCTTCATCTGTGGAATGAGGATAACAACACCCCGGCCCAAGGGTCACACACAACCAAAAGGAAAGAATTTATAAGAATTCTTCCGACAAACCACTAGAGCCAGCAGATGGCCCACACCAGCCCAGGCTGTACTGAAACCGTGGAGCGTCCAAGGAGTTGTGGGGGCGGGGTGGGGGTTGAGGGAGGTGGACCGCCCTGCCTGCGCATCCTGTGACTGCAGAGGCCGACTCTGGACCCACGACTCATGGGCACAGTAACTGAAACACACCAGTCACAACAACAGTTTAACATTTTACTAAATCAACTCACACAAATTCCAAATTGCAAATATAATTAAGGACAACAGATTCTGCTTTTCCTTTTAAATCTTTCATTTTCAAATCCATCATTAAGACAAAAAGTAACCAAAAATTATTAGGTTTGTTGCAAATTCATGATTCTTCTGAGGAAAAAAAAAAAAAGAACATTAGAGTAAAAAAAGAACGCCACTGGGTGTACGAGAAAGCACCACAACACACGGTCACAAACGGGGCGTCCTGGGTTCGGTGACAGGTAAAAGACGCTGTTCTCCTCGCTGCTGTGCACCAATCAGGGTTTCGTTAAAATAAAACTAGAAAATCTCCTAGGTTACACTAAGTCAGACATGGTCTGGAACACAGTGCTTAACAGTAATGCCAACTATCAGTGCTAACATAAAAACATTTTAGAAGGTCAAAAACAATTAAACTGGAAACCAAAGCCTTATTTTCCCTAGATGAGCAAAATTGAAAATGAAAGGGTTCCCACCTCCCAGTAGGAGTGAAGGGGATTTTTCTTTTTTTCATTTAAATTGGAGGTGGGGTACATGGTGCAGCTGGTTCTGTCGTTGCTCAGCCTAGTTGGCGTCCAGCTTGGCCATTTCCTGCACATAGATCCCTATACTTTCGCTGTCAAAAAGCACGAAGTACACCGTTTTGATGGAAGAGGACATTGTGGACACAAAGTAACTGGAGATGGCCTTCAGAATCAGCTGAGCTGCTGTCTGCTTTGGAAAACCGTTCCTGTAGGAGAGAAGACAAGCGCTCAGCAACTGGGATACAACCGGGGACACAGGACCTGCCCCGCCCTACGAGGCCACCTCCCTCCGTGCTGCAGCTTGCCTTGGGTTGGGTTGGTGTGTGTTGAACCCCATGTCTGCTTGGACACCAGTGTGGGAAAGCCCAGTGCCCAGAAGATGGGATGGGAGACAGAAAACTGGGCGAAGAGCTGGCACCTACAGAAGGATGTGCAATATGCTTCTAGAGAATGCAGCAGCCAGCACACAGAATAGTGTTTTGTGGTGTGCATTAAGGCCCTGAAGTGCAGTGTGAGCTCCTGAATTTCTTTTTCCATCATCCCTGCCACTAGCACAGTGCCTGAGCCACAGCCCAGGCTCTCGATGTCAGCTCCAGGGGATGGCTGCAGGTTCTCTAGGAAGGCACTGACCTCTGTCCACCCACACAGAAGAGTTACCCCTTCACACCAGGGGCCACTGCCCAGGAATCCACCCTCCAACACATACCAGCAGTACCACCCCAGAGTCCAGAATGCAGGGAGCTGTGAGCTGTTCTACTCAGGGCTACCATCCAAGTTTCCAGGCCAAATGTATTTGAATCCACATACATTTCCACTTCAACATCATGTGGCAATTTTTGAAGGTAGGTGCTCTGGACTTAAAAATATCCTGGCCAATAGATTTCACCAATAGGTGAAGTCAGGACTGGCAACAGTGGCCCTCACTGTTCTGTGGTGTGCCCGAGGCTACTCCTGGTCAGCATGGCATGTGGGTGACCCACATATAGTCTAGTGAAAACCCAGGTTTAGAGCCAGTGGCCCTGAAGTCACACCCCTTACTGGTCCCATTTTATAGTTAAGGATACTGAGGGTGAGTATGGGACCAGCTCTCACGGGTAGCTCTTTGTTCACTGGAAGATCTATAGTCATCAATCTGCCTGAGCCTGAGGGCGTGCTGGTGTCCAAAGCACTGGGCCAGCCTGCCTATTTCAGCTGGAGCTCTTCCTCACGTGGGGCACCTGCTGCCAGGTAGAGGGGTTTCCAGATGCGTACGGTGGGCATCTCCGTGGTGGTAGACCTACACAGCTTCCTCCCAGGAGACCCTGGTGATTCTAGACCAATAGGTGGGCCAGGATGGAGTGTGGCATGGATAGGGAAGAAAAAGGGCTCTGCTAAGAGTGGGCAGGTCATTCCTCTGGCACCAGTGCTGTTTGCAGATGTGAAATCTCAGGCACAGCTGCTTTTGACTATATTCGCAGGAGTCAAGGAGGACCGAGGACAGGTTTCTGGAATGAGCTCTGTTGGGAATTGCTTGGAGAGAGAAACTCAATCTTCCATTTTTCGGGGCATCTTTCCAGCAGCTCATGCTGCTTCCAGCTTGCGCTGGGTTCCTTGGTCCTGTTGTAGCCTGTACTTGGTCAAGGGAACTACAAGGGCTTCTGGAGCAGGCAGAGGCAGTCTGTGGATGTGACCTAGATGAATGGGGGCTGAGAGAAGCTGTGAGAAGTTGCTTTCTGGATGTGAAGTCCAAGAACATGCTCTTCCAGTTCCAAGCTCCCCACAGTGAGGTGCCCTCCTGCCTGTCTCAGCCTCACACCTGCACAGGGAGCTGGGCTGTGGTGAGGGCCTATGAAATGCTGCAAATAGCAGCTGTCATGTGGCCTGATGGTCTGCCTAGCTGAGCTAGCCCCAGGGCAGGGCTTCTGTAGCTGCAGCCAGGCTGCATGCCCAGGCAACTGTCTCTAACACTTGGCTACACAAGCTGGGTGGGATGCAGTTTGATGCAGGCAGAGCATGGCCTGGCCCATGCCCATGCCATGCCGACTGGGAGGTCCCAAGGGGTCTCCATGGAACACCAAAAGTGTGCCAGTAACTCCCACCTGTTACCAGTGCTTTCTGACAGACCCATTCTGGGGCCTTCCCTGCCTCTGCTTTGGACCCTTGCAAAAGGGTATGTGACTTTCACTCAGAAAGTGTTCTTTCCTATTCCTCTACGTCATCAGTTCTAAAACTGTAGCCTGCATCAGAATTCTGGAGGGCTTGTCAAAACACAAGAGTTTGATTCAGCAGGTCTAGAGACCACTCTGTGACAACTGCTGTTCTACAAATAGCCAGCATGGACTTTATGATCTAAGCTGGCAGGGTGGACCCAGAGGTTGAGGCTCTGCAAATGTGGGAGAAGGGTCAGTATCAAGTTTTAGACCTGCAGTGTCCCCACCTGCCTACCCTCCTGTAAAGAGAGAGCAGGCAGTTCCACTGGAACTTGCAAGCATTTCAGGGTTGCTGGTGGGTGAACATGAATCTGGATTTGTTTCCAGGAAAAACCTCTGTTGACAAATCCCTCCCTCTGTCCTAGGAAGCCACAGCCTAAGGAAGAAACCATGCCATGGGACTGTGGCTGCTCTGGACTGTGCAGGCTGCCAGGTAGGAATGGTGGAGGTAATGGCTTTCCCAACATTTTCTGGTGGGCCTCAAAATGTCTTGCTGCCAGAGAATGCCTGTAGCAAAATGGAATGTGTAAGTGGATGCCCTAGCAAGAGCACTCCACACATAGCCCTGCAGCCTCCAGACACAGGCAGTGGTGGCACATGCAGCAGCTGGGGCAGGTCAGTCCCAGCTCTGCCTCTGAGGCATGGGTAGACTGACGGCCCTACTCCCTCCAGGATAGAGAGAGTGGTTAAGAGCTCAGGATTTCCTGGGGTCACACGGGATTTGAGTTGTGGTCCCGCTTCAGTGCCTTGTTTCCCCATCAAGCGAAATGGAGTCAGAGTACGGGACAAGAAAATGCACAGTAAACACCAGGGTATGGCACAGAGAGTCTTCAGTTAAGAGGAGCTGTCTATAAAGTAGGTGGCCTTGAAGGGTCTTTTAAAAGGCTCATGCAGTGGAAAACTGCCTCCTCCAACCTCGTCCCTGGGATAGCTGTGACTTGGTGACTGCTGTTGTCCTTGCAGTCTGTGCTAACAATGTTGGCCTCAGACCCCAGAGAGCTGCTGGCTGTGACTGTGGGCCTGCAACAGCAGGGGCTACACAGAGGCTCCCCAGTGCAGTGCTGACCACTTTCAGAGCAACGATGCCCCCTGGCGCCACATCTTTGGCTTCTCAGCTGGGTTCACTTGCTACCTGCATAACCACGGCCACTCTGAATAGCCATTTCTGCCTGGCCTGGCCCCTGTGACAGCCACTCTGCCCTCCAGCTGCCACAGAGCAAGATGGGTGAAGGACTTCCACTCTAGAGTCAGAATCAGGCTTGAATCCCAGCTGCTTTGGGCTGGGTGTTAACCCCTCTAAGCACAGTTTCCTCCACTGGAAATGAGGTATTTCAGGGGTCTATGCAATGATGATAATGGTGGTGGTGACAAGGCTGCCAGTGCTGCGGCCACCATCAGCCCCGCCTGGGAGATGGGTGCTTTGCATGTCGTTTCCCCTCTCTTCAGCCCGACCTGACCTGTGCGTTGTGTTTATGGCATGTTCCTTAAGTGTCTCTGGAGTGAAGTGTTTCCTACACGATAGACGTGGGACCTTGAGTGGACTAAAGAGACATCTGAGCTTCCCCTAAAGTCACTCCAGTTGTCTCTGTAAAAGCCTTTGCCTTTCCCAAGAGTCCTGGACCTTTTTCCCAGGGCCAGTGCAAGATGCCCCCTTGGGTCAGCCTGCTTAGTGATGGCTGGGGGCACACACATTGGATGCTTGTCCCATGGTCCCATCCAGACATGTAGAGACTCTAGGTCCACCAAGGACCACATACCAGCTCTGCTCAGCCCTCTCCTTGCGTGGGGCTTCAGCAAGCACCCCTGCTCTCAGCGAGCTCACCCTCTAGTGCTGGGGCCAGGCTAGGACCTCATGAGGGACCTCAGAGTCAGAGGGAGAGCTGTATCTTGGGAGCCCAGGGAGACTTTCTGGAGCAGATAGACTGGGAGCTTGCCCTTGGTGGCTGGGGAGGAGTAGAGGCGGATTCTGGTATTCTTGGTGGGTAGGGTTGGGGAAAATGTCTGTCACTCAGGATATAGACACTCTTCTGCTAAGATTAGGTTTCCTCACACTGTGCTGTGGACTGCTCTTAGGCCTTAACCATTTTTGAGTAATTGCCTGATTGTTTGAAGTTGCCCCAGCTGTAGGCTACTTTGATCCAAAAGACCAAGCCATCAGGATCCTGAGCTGACGGCAATGGTATATGAGGGAGAACATTCAGAATCAATGGTGATGGGCCCACCACTCCCCTGAGCTGGGCCCCCTGCCAGCGAAGGAGGGGCTAGGGCCACCCCAAAGTGGCCTCTCACTCCAAGCCCCCAGGTTTGGGTAAATGAAAAATTATCCCCTATTCAAAGGTCTTTGGGTTTCTGTCCTTTTATCTCTCCCCTGAGGCCAACACTTAGGAGCATAGAGAGGCTGATGGCTATACCTGGTCAGGGAGTTTCCAGGTACTGTTTTATGCACAGAGTACGTAGGCACGGGGCAGCCCTGTGGTGGGATGAGAGGAGGTGGGAGCTGGGGTCTGGCTGACCAAAGGAGGCAGGGGTTCCATGAGCCTAACAGTTCTGAAGCCCAGGGCTTCTGATCAAATTCTGGCTCTACCATGTACAAGTTGAGTGACCTCAGATGAGTTACTAAACCCCCTTCTATGCTTGTTTCTTTGCCCTTGAAAGGAATTAGTAATAGCGCTCACCTTGTAGGGCTGCTGTGAGATAATGCAGATAAAGGGTTTAGCACAGTGCCTGGGGCTCAACACATACCCATAAATAGATAGCTTGAAAAAAATAAATCAGCTTTTCCTTTTAAGCTCATAAATCTAAGGAAAGTTTAATCAAAGCCCCAAACTAGTATTCTCTATGTACTACCCCTCTGGAGAGGGGGCACCCCTAATGTCAGAGCTGAGGAAGGGGGGTATCCATAACTATCATGACCAGAATGACTGAGGACATGATATCCAGATGCCAGGGTCTCACCTGCCCCCAGCAAAGCGGACAGGCTGGAGGGAGCCATCACACAGGTGTGGTTGTGGTCATCTTCCACGTAGGCTGTGCCTCAGCTAAGAGAGTGATCCTTTATCAATGGCTGTTTCCCTACATGCTTGCATTTATACTGTTCTAATTCTGACATAACTTTCATGCCAGAGACACTGGATGCAACAAACAAGCTGTTTTATTTCCCCTCCTAAAACCCACTGTGATTTACTGGCTGGCTCTGGTGTAATCCCATTTTTTTACTCATGAAAGAGGGCAGCTGTTTACACAGCTCTGTGGGGTGAGGTCTGCCTGGCAGATGTGGCCTAGGTAGCTATGCACATGTGCTGCCTTCGGCATTTCCCCCCCTTAAAGCTTTCAATTGATTATTTTTACTCCTACGTTTTACTCCATGAAAAATGTAAATAAGTTTGTAATAACAGATGCTCTTTTATGGGAATTACTTTTGTGCTTCAATTAAAAATTTCCCAATACCCATATGAAAGGGTGTGAAATTATTACCTCCAATAAAGTCTCCTATTGCTTCCCTCTTCGGAAGCACCTTTCATCAGAGCAGATCAAAGTGCATCCGAAGCATTAATTAACTGGGCCTCAGAACCATCTGTGAGGAAGGGCAGTCCCTACAGCCTCACTTGCTGATAAGGCAGACCAGGGCAGAGAGGTTGATTCATTTAACCAAAAGTCACACAGGACAGGGGAGTGAGGGGCCTCACTCACAGAGCCCTAGGACCAGAGCTGTGAGGCTAGGGGAGGCAAGCTTGCCTGTAGCTCACTGACTGGGGAGGGGTTGCTGGGAAAATGCTCATTCTGCTGTTTTGCCCTTGATTTGGGGAGGTTGTGGGGGGTGTGGAGGGCACTGATTAGAGGCTCCAGAGAAGGTTCAGGTGCAACTGGAGATCTTTCCCCAGAGCCAGGTAATGGTGGGGCCTGCCAGTTGCACATGGCCTTGGTCACAGAAAGCCCTGGGGAATGGTGGCAGTGCTTGTCGGCCTGTGGGCCAGGACTTCTGCTAGGCAGAATGGCAAGTGCCAGAAAGCCCACTCTGTACTAGTTCTGCCACCGGTACTTGAGGTGTGGGACCTCAGTGATGGCAGCATACAGGAGGCAAAATCACAAGGCCCGCCTAAGTGGAAAATGGCAAAATCCACTTTCTATCCTCTCAGAAGTTCGGAAGGAAAGTGCTTTGGAAAGAGCAGCTTTCTATCCAGTTCAGGGCCTGGTTACCCAGAAGGAAGGGGCGGCCTACAGGGTCACAGGCAGTTGGTGCTGCACAGCCCTGCCTTCCCTGGGTGCTGGGTGGGGCTGATGGGCAGAGACCCTAGAAGGCTCACAAGCTGGGGTGGGAAGCCCCGGGAGCACTGGCAGGTACTCTGTCCAAAGCAACCCCCTGCCAGTACAGAACCCCAGGTTATGGCTCCTTTTGGGCCCAAGTTGCTGAGAGCTGCAGCCTCTACAGGCCAGTTTCTCTTTGCTTCAGTGCCCAATGCAGACCTCGAGGCTTCCAGAGGCCTTGGACTTAGACCCTTAGTAGGGAGGACTATAGTGATGGGCAGTGGGTCACAATCTTGGAGGTGGCTCTGCCCTGACAGGTCCTCATATCTGCATCATGGCACACACTTCTGAAAGCACTTTTCCTTCTAAGAGCTTCCTTAATTTCTAGAGCAACCCTGAGACACTGCATGGGGGGACTATAATGCCAGCTTCTCAGAATGAGGCTTAATTTACACATCATCACTCACCTGGTTAGTGGCCAAGCCAGGATGCAACCCCAGGCCTGACTGCTAAGCCAGAGTGCAGTGCTGCTCCAACAGGCAGGAACCTGATAGGTTATTAGCTGTCATCTGTGGGGTGCACAATCAGGGGGATGTTGGGGGGCTTACCCTGAGCCCTAGCTGCATCAGCTGTCGAAAAACTAGACTTCTCCAGTGGTGGTACTCTGGGTATGTCTGTGTCTTAGGAGCAATTCTGCTGCTCCTGAAGACCTTGGTGAGTCTACCTGGGGGTATTTTGGGGGCAGGAAGTGGGGTAGGGCCCAGCCCTGTTTAAATCTCACATAATTCCCCATTCCATTCCACCAGGTCCCTTTACCTCATTAGCAGGCCAGCAGGGTCACCTACAGCAGTGAGACAGTCAGGTGGAGACAACTGTGCCTCAATGAAAGATGCTTGTGAGTAGAAAGGCAAGGGACAGAGGGTTTTATCCAAAGAAAACTGTGGTTTGGGGGACAGACCACAACAGACTATAATAAAGTCAGACTATAATAAAGACAATAAGCTATAGACTTATTCTGAGACAGCATGCTGTTCATCTATATTCCTGCATTCACACCTCAAGATCCTCTCCAGCCATCTAAGTCATTGTGCCCTTCAAAACTTAACTCTCTGAGGTGCCATCTCTGTGGTCCCAGTACACACAGGGGTCCCCTTCTGTGATGACATCTGCTGTCAAAACCGAAGTTTTATATTATCCTTGGGA